GTACGAGCTAACAGTCCACCTTCATCAGTTAGTAAATGTTCACTGCTAGACATGGAACGCCTCCGTTGCTGTACGGGGATATAAATATATGAGAGGTATCTACAAATACATTTTTTATTCTGTAAAATAATTTGCTCTATAAGCTAACTCATGGGGAAAGTCTATGTTCAACAAGACTTTGATAGGTTGTATTTAAGGAATATAAATAAAAGTCTACAAACAAGTTTTCAGTCCGAAGGATTTTAAGTGTTGACTACAGCTTTTAGACATCTGTTTAACCTTTCGACGAATCCCTTACTATTTTTATTGAAAAAGATGAATTTTTCGTCAAAGGAGCAGAAAATTGAATTGCTGAATTTTGAATTGAAGTGCTTGAGCTTTTAATGTCATACTTCATCCAGTCTACTCTTCAGCTTTCAATTCAGCTTTAACTTTTGGTCCGATTCATGTAAAATGAGCTTGTAACGTCTTGATATCTTGTAGTATTATGCTTGGGTTTGTGTATGGGATCCCAAGCAGATGGTAGCACTCAGCCATCTTCTCTAATGAAATTAGGGTGTTTTTTTAAATTCAATAGACTCATGAATCATCCTTGTTATGAATCAGTGTTTTTTTGCGAGGTTTTTTTGATTATGAAATGTGAATTAATGTAGGGGATTATTCTGTACATGTTCAAAGACTGCAGACTTCTCGGAGCGATTACGTTTACTATAAGGTGGGGCGAAATGGTTTATTGTAATAGACTTAGTATTATAATTCAAATATAAAAGATTATTCTAAAGGAATTATGCGTAAGAAATATTTGATATTATGCATCTAAGTCTTAGGATACATCTAATAATTAATAGTTCTTAAAATTTTAAAAGTTGGGGATAAAATAACATATATTGTGGACAGAGATGAATATATATATATATATATATATATATATATATATATATAAAAGTTACAGCCTATATACGTTCCACTGCTGGGCACAGGCTTCCTCTCAATTCTAAGAGGGTTTTAGGGCAAGGAATAGTCCGCCGCGCTGCCCTAATGCGTGTTGGCGAACTTCACATGCCTTGGAAATATTTTTTTATTCTTATTTCTCAGACATGCAGGTTTCCTCACGATGTTTTCCTTCACCGCCGAGCACGTGGTAAAACAGCATTTAAAATTGCAGTTAACAATTTCATTGGTGCCGGCGGGGATCGAACCCGGTTTGCTCGCGTATTGTGAAATTGACAGCGAGCGCTATCCAACTGATCTTTTCACGGTAAATGTTGATCCAGTAAGAAGTTATAACAATTGTTGATCCACCTATTTGATGTGTTTTCTCAGCTCCTCGTCATACAAACTAATATACTTTGATCCATTCTTGATGCGCGTGTGACGTCGGTGGATCTGCACTAACAGGATTTCAATATACTCGTCAGCAATTTGACCAACATTTGTTGATCTATTAACGGTCGAAAAAATCATACTGAATATGATTTTTTAGATTCAGAGTATATTTAATTTATATGCGACATTTACTTAGACTAAGTGGATCCGGAGCCATAATTGACGAATAGGTACTCGAACACGAAGCGGCAACGTCGCGTTCTGTGTGTGACAGAGAACCCAGTAGGCTACTTCGTTATGGTAATAAGGTAAGAAAATACGTTATATGCTGATTTTGTTTATCAAACTTTGGCAGGTTTTATTGTGGAAAGACGTTTGTACGAGTTTTTGTTATCGTGTGAGTGAATTTGTGTTAATTTATTTATTTGTCATAGATCACTTAGAAGATGATGGATAGTACTTTATTACAAATTAATTTGTCACTCGAGTGTGTGTGTGTGTGTGTGTGTGTGTGTGTGTGTGTGTGTGTGTCTGTGTGTGCGCGTGTGTGTGTGTATGTGTGTGTGTGCTGTGTGTGCGCGTGTGTGTGTGTGTGTGTGTGTGCGTGCGTGTGTTATGCGAGTTTGTGTGTGCGCGTGCGTGTTGATGTATGTGCGTTCATGTGTGTTCGTGTGAACACATGTGCGTGAGCGTGTGTGTGAGTGTATGTGTGCGTGTGTGCACTATTATGTTTTTTTAGAACGTGTGTGTGTGTGTGTTAGTGTGTGTGCGCGCGCGCGCGTGCCCGCGTGTATGTATGTGTGCGCGCGCATGTGTTTGCATGTGTGTGTTTGTGGTCTGTGTTTGTGTGTGTATGTGTGTGTGTGTGTGTGTGTGCGCGCGTGTGTGTGTGTGTGTGTGTGTCTGTATTTATGTGAGAGCGCGAGAGCGCGCGTGTGTGTATGAGCGTTCGTGTGCATGCGTGCGGGTGTGTGTGCGTGCGTGTGTGCGTGCGTGTGTGCGTGCGTGTGTGTTCGTCTGAGTGCGTGTTTGTGTGTGTGTATGTGTGTGTGTGTGTGTGTGTGTGTGTGTGTGTGTGTATGTGTGTGTGTGTGTGTGTGTGTGCGCCCAGAAAACGGAGGCAAAGAATGGAGACGTGGAGGCGGAGGTGAATGCAGCGTAGTATCTGGTGAAGGCGGAGGAGAAGAATTTGTGGTGAAGTCGGAGATAGTGGAAACGGGGAATTGTGTTGGAGGCGGAAAGAATAGTGACGGCGCGTGGTGGTGGCGGTGGTGGGAGCGGAGTTTATTGTTGAGGCGGATGGAGCAGAGTTTATGGTAGATTCGGAGGTAGCGGAGGTGGAGAACGAAGGCCTAGAGAGGGGTGCGGTGGTAGAAGTGGAGGCGTAGGTGGCAGAGGTGGTGGTGGGTGCACTGGAGTGCAGTAAAGTGGGTACCGCGTGAGGGCAAGTGAGGCTCATATAAAGGACAGTTGGTTACAGCGAGAAACAGTGTGGCTGGTAAGTGGATATCGATACTGCTCCTAAAGATGTTACTACGAAGTTATTCATTTTTCCGAATATCAGCTTTGATACCTATTGGTACCAGAGACAAAGTGAAAAGAACTTTTGTTTTGTGACGGTTTCATCATAACTAACAAAACAAACCCAAACTCGGCATACCTAGTTCTATTAGTCCAGGTGTTACAGTGTTAGTTACCGAAGTACACCTTCAGGTCACTTCAGCAAGTCCGGAGGTAAGGACTCATCACAACTAACAAAACGAGCCCAGACGCAGCACACCCAGTTCTACTAGTCCAAGAGTTCCACTAGTAATCCCGAATTACATTTTGAGGTCACTCCATCAAGACCAGAGGTAAGGTCTCATGATAATATCTCATGTAATAGTTCGATTCTATACCTATCAATTTTGTAAACGCGTCCTTAAAAATCTTGACACACACACACAAACACGCAACCGAGCGCACAAACATGCACACATGCGCACACGCACAAACGCATACACACACTAACACACGCACACTGCCGCACACACACAAACACAACAGTGCACACATTCACACACGCACACCCATTCACACACAAACACACACACACAAACACACACACACACACACACTCACACTCACACACACACGTACACATACGCACACGCACACATATGCGCGCACACACACACACACACACACACACACACACACACACACACACACACACACGCGCGCACGCAAACATGCACTCATACGAATATCTTATGTCGCCGTTGCCACCACTTCCTCTACAAAAGGGGCCTTGTCGAGTAATTCGTTAAAACAAAGTTGTTTATTTCGACCACAAGGATCATAGTTGTTAGTAATAATACAAATCTTAAAACTAATTTTCGTAAAACTTAAAACTATTTACCTAATTTTAAAACTATATATAAGACAGGCCCGATTAGTCAGCGCGTGCACCATATGACAATGGTTCAGGTACTGACCTCAAACCTGTCAGAAAATGCCATGCCATGCAAACCTCAGGATACCATTGGAACTTGCCCGCACCCTGCGCACCAGGGATGTGCATCGTTTACGCATGGTGGTCTAGAAACAATCCACACGCGCATCCGCGAACATACCCGGCGCATTACAAATGCATTACATAACACGCATTTAATCTGTAGCTTGTACCGCCAAAGATACGAAACGGCAATGTCGCCGCTGCATTCAGCCAATCCGATCGTTTATCTTATCGTTTGCTGTGCTCTGATTGGCTCATTTAAATCGGATCAACATTTTCCGTAACCATCGCAAGGTGGATTTGTATATCGGATCAACTTCGGCCAATGCTAGCCAACAGTCTCGTGAGTGCAGATGTTGATCCGGTCGGAGCCACATTAGTTACCAGAGATGCATATTGGATCAACAAAAGGCGCCGGATCAACATGCGTTTTCGGATCAACAATGTGCTCGCGTGAACATTTACCGTAAAGAGATCTATATATATATATATATATATATATATATATATATATATATATATATATATATATCAGTAAAATACTACTAACTGGCTGACTGACTGACTCATCACTATATCTCTAAAGCTATACACCCGATAGACTTGAAATTTAGTAAATTTAGTATAGTTGCTCAACTACTCACTCAATTTTTAATTTCATAAATAAATTAATAAAGATCTATCGAAATTCAAATAATGTCTACCCTACTTTAAGAACGGCAATAAAACAATAAAGGAGACAATCAATTTTTGTATGGAGAATGGGCCGACCACAAATTTTCACGTCCCGCAATGAAATGCATGTCGATTTATTCCTTATAATCTATAGATTACAATAGTAATATTAGTTATTAGTAAACAGAAAACTGAGAAATTAAACATTAAAATATGAATTTTAAAGTAACCTAGAAATAAACTAAAAGCTATTTATAATAGTTATTACCGGTATTTTAAGTTAAAATAGTGCACTGTTGAATAATAGTTCATATAAAACCAAGTTGTAGGTACATCCAGCATTTACGGGTACTTCAAAATCCATGGAAAATCTTATTAGTAGTTACGGCAAAATATAATGCCTGTCTGTGTACAAATGTGGTATGGATACTATTTTTTACATAATATATTGATTGTGAGTGTACTTTCCAAATACCATTAAAATAATATAATTAAATTAAAGATGACTAAGGTATAATATGTCCATTTATATTTATAATATTACCAACACACGTTATATAGTAAGAAAGATGTTTTAAACCTGACTGTTTAAAAAACAAGTTATAATGCAACCGTATTTATAGATAGTAAATCATCATTTCCAACGTAGTCTATAATTCAGACATATAATTCAGATCTATTAATGCAGACAGACAGACAGGCCCGGTGTCAAGACTTTTTTTAATATGCTTTGGTTGATTATTAAATACCTAATTATACACCTTAAAATGACTGGGTCTAAAATACCAAAATGACTAGGTAATATCATGCTTATCTGTTATTACACACTGATAAATAGCGAGGAATTAAGATGTTTTGAACTGTTTGTGCCAGGATAACAAACACACAGGTATAGTTTAATTGTATTTATTATTAACGATCCGCCTCGACTTCGCACATGTGATTTCTGGAATTCGACAACAGCGCCACCTACCGAGTCAACATGTGAATATGAATCATATAGAGACCCATTCAAACACACATAAACATTTCATCAAAATCGTTTGGATGGTTTCATAACGGACATAGGTAGAAACATTTTTCATGTTTTCATATCAAAAGATCATATCAAAAGATTTTTTCAAAATAACTTGATGGTGACATGTCTATTTATGATATGATATTGATATGTATAAGTCCCAAACATCATGTATAATTACTGCATTTATTATGGTAAAAATCTTCAGCGGTTTATGAGTCCTCTTTTAAAAATAACATAGCAGACAAGTGCAGTGCCCTTTGTTCATTAAAGTATTCATCTATTAGCAATTATAAATCCCATACATCATTAAAATATAATGTCTCGCTCGTTTATGATATTATTAGAAATCAGAAGGATATTGTCAATTAAAAGAGATAAAAAAGGGTGCCAGAGCAATAAATTCAACTTTGCTCGGCGTTTATATATAAATTACACATATAACATAATATATAACAGATAATAAAGCACACAGTAAAATAGAAATAGTTCAAATAAGCAACAAAAATTACAATTTTTGGTGATCATTATTCATCATCATTACAACAGTCCACTGCCGAACATAGGGCTCCTAAATTAATTATATGATGTAAAATATTACAGAGGCCTTCCGTCAATTACCATCCATTCCGTCCCGTATGGTGTCGTAAAAGTCGACAGAGTAAAATAAAAGTACCAGGAGATGAGCAGCAGCATCTTCCTATAGAATACCACAAAAGACTGGTTGCCACAAGTGGATCAACTATAGCAAAAATCATCATTTATATTACAATATTAAGAAGCATTAAGATTAATAATCATCATTCATCATTTTCAATATCATTACTTGAAAGTAATATATCATCTAAAAAAGATGCAGGTGGTTCAACCTAAGTAGGCATCTTTGACCTTGTCACTTTGCTGAGTCACAGGACCAAGGGCAAAGTAATTGATCAAAAAAAATTTCAAACGCTTAATTCAATATTTTTGTTATTATTTTTCGTAAAATATCAGTGACATAGGCTTCTACTGCGTTCACATGTTAACACCCTATTTATTTCCAGAGGGTAAAAAAAGTCATCCAGTATATAATCCAATATTTGAGACAATTGTGTATTTCAAAACATCAATTTACCAACTTAGAGATTTACTCTAAACTCAACGGAAATACACCTTCAGAACATTATTACAATTATAACCCGATTATTATTTTATTTCCGATGGTGGAAGGGCAATTCTACTGTTGCTCTCAGTATCAAAATGTGGCAGCCATGATAGCGGATGGGTTAAGCGCTTGTAAATTACATTAACACTCACGCCTGTCACCCAGAGGGGTAGGCAGAGACTACAGACTTTCATTTGCCACGATCCTGACACACCTCTCTCGCCTCCTACACAACCATATACCTACTCATACATGCTCGTCGGTTAAGGGTACTCCTAATTTAGCCCATTTTCAATATATCCCCGATTTGGTAACTTATGCCTAGGATGGATAAACTTTTGCCTAGAACGTCCAAACCACTTGTGAATTACTAGTTTACCACTATTGAATTACAACATAATTAATGAAATTGTCAATTTCAATTTTAAGTCTGATTTTATTCGGCGTGCAGTTGAGTGAAAGAAAACATCGCATTCGATTTAAATAAATGTTAATATACGTTGTGAAGCCAAGCTGTAAATTTATTATAATTGTATCACGAATAGATCGGCTCAACCAGAGTAGGACCATGATCTTACAGAATACCAGTTTAAAACAGCAGTTTAATGCTGCTGTGTCTCGTATTATAGAGAACCGGATACAAATTCTAATAGAAAAAATTAGAAAGAGATTTCGTCTTAGTACTTAGAGATGAACGCATCTGCATTGTGATTCTTAATCGTGAATAACTATTTCTTTATTGATTGTTATCTTAATGACATGCAGGTAACCCCCTCAGCTTTTTATTTATATAAAGCTCTTATTTCGATATTACCCACGGACACTTCAATTTTATGTATATCTAGTATAATTGAGCAGATCAGGTGACGAACCATAAAGAGTTAGTTCACTGCTATGCTCCCGTGCGTGTTAGCAGAGATCTTATTCCGAACATGAAATCAGAATAAATCAAAATTATTTCCTTCCTTCAACACCCAATGGACTTGCGTGATAAACTCTTTCATGCTCAGTAATTCACTAGCAATTAGCCCTCCGTGCTGCTCCAGTGCGTGTCAGCAAGACCAACACCACAGCACAACATTCCACCTGATGGTAAGTGGGTGCTGTGGCCCATAGACATCTACATTAATCCTCAATTAAGAACCAAAACGCAGAATAGTTGTCACCCCTGAGGTCTAAGGTGGAATGCCTTTTTTCCAGTAAAAAAGAGTCTCCGGATCAATATATTCACCATACGAAACACAGCAGTATTAAGCTGCTATTTTATGTTGGTATTCATTTTCATTCATTTCTATGGGAGGGAAGATTCTATCCAGGCTATCATTTTCCTTTTAATCAAGAAATTGCTTAAAATCGTAATTGATTTCAGTTGAACTTCCCGGGTATTCGCGTCTCGTCCATAGCTGTTGATAGTAAAACGCAATGGGAGCAGAGTACGGTGGAGCTGGGCCGTGGGCTCACACCACGTGGCAGCGTGCTGGCGCGTTTTACTCATCTTCAGCACGATGAGTTTGATTACGTGTAAGTATCTCGGTGTTGGATGATCTCGATAAAAGTATTTTAAAAAATTCTGCAGCTATATTATGGTTGTAAAACGAGTGGGTCATTTCGACTGTGGAAGCACCACACTCCCACAGAATACCAGCGTGAAATTCGAGCTTAATGCTGCTGTGTTTTGTATGGTAAATGTAGAGAACCGGACTCTTTTCACTGGCAACGAGGCATTGCATCTCAGCTATCAGGGTTGATAATGCATCTGCATTTGGATTCTTAATCGAGAATAGATATTGATGTATATAGGTACCAGCATCCACTAATCATTAAGTGGACTGTGTGATCGTTTGTCACCCTTATTCTATAAAAATACGAAAATAAAGCAAAACTTACACTTCTTATGTTTAAAATAGTGGCAAGTACAATAGCTGAGTTCTATATCTCAATAATATAAACATTGAATTTGAATTTAATAAATCTATAACTTTTTGTGCAAACAGTATCGAAGTTGACAACACAAGAGGTAAAAACGCAATGGGAACATTTCGCATATTCTTGGCACCTATTACTAATGAAAAAGGAACTCCGCTTCCATTCAACGAACAAAGAAGACTCATGATCGAGCTGGACAAGTTTTCACAGAGCCGTAAGTGTAATACCATGAAAATTTTATCAATGTTTTTTTTTATATATAGGATAGGGTGACAATCGAGCACACAGTCCACCTGATGGTAAGTGGTTGCTGTGGCCCATAGACATCTACATCTATCCTCGATTACGAATCAAAATGCAGATGTGTTGGTCACCCGTGAGGACTAAGATGGAATGCCTCGTTTCCAGTAAAATGGGTCGCCGGTTCTCTACACTCACCATACGAAATACAGCAGCATTAAGCTACTATTTCACGCTGGTATTCTGTGAGAGCGTGGTCCTTCCCCGGTCGAGCCGACCCATTCGTGCTACAACTATACATCTAATGTTATACTGAATAAGGCAAAAGCGAATTATTGGCTACAAACAACCGCCAAACGATGCCAAAACGATTTCATGGGGGTTTGACCATTCCGTTTGCACCTAAAGGTTAAAAAGTTGAGTTAAAAGTTGTGTGACACCTGGTACTGTGATGACTTGTACTGTAACTCCGCTTCCTAAGTGTGACGATTTTTTTATGGGAAAGGGGCAAACGAGCATACGGCTCACCTGATGGTAAGTGATTACCACCGCCCATGAACAACTGCAGCACCAGGGAAATTGCAGACGCGTTGCCGGGCTTTTAAAAAGCGGTAGGCTCTTTTCTTGAAGGTCCATAAGTCGTTTCGGTCCGGAAAATCTCTGGTGGTAGTCAATTCCACAAGGAAGTTGTGCGAGGAAGAAAACTTCTTTTAAATCGCACGGTAGTGGATTATGACAAATTCTCCCTAATGCAAGACAGGTCCATGTCCAACAGTGTTCTAGTCTGAGTGGTATACAGAGCCAGTATAATTGTGAGCCATTCAATCTTAGTCTTCAAAAGTGACAACGTGTCTGTAGCATTTTTTGTTTGAAGTTGTACTGTAGTAGCCACTTTTATGAGCCGATGAAGAAGAAGCAGCAGAAAGGGTAAAATAAAAATAAATATGTGCGTTATTTCTGTACTAGTTTAACTAACACTGAATCTGATCTTTTTTGAATTGCAAAGCAGAAAGAATGCATTGAAAATAAGTAAGATATTCACTGTATTAGATGAATCGTCATTATATCCTTTCGTGGAATATCTAAGATGGATAAAGATGAGTTTACATTTCATGAACTAAGTTAAAATTTCTTACAGTATGTAGTTATACTCTACTACATTTTAAACCGGAACATAATATCAGGTGAACCATCGAGAGAATACTCGTAATATGGTTATGTGGTAAAGCCACACTGCAGCTATATTAGTGATATAGCTGTAGCATGAATGGGTCGGCCCGACTGGGGAAGGACCAAGCTCTCACAGAATACCAGCGTAAAATAGTAGCTTAACATTGCTTTGTTTCGTATGTTGAATATAGAGAACCGGAGACTCTTTTTACTGGAAACTAGGCATTCCATCTTAGTCCTCACGTGTGAAAACGCATCTGCATTTTGATCCGTAATCGTGGATAGATGTAGATGTCTATGGGCTACAGCAACCACTTACTATAAAGATGGACTTTGTGACCGTTTGCCACACTTATTATCTTATAAAAAAGACCATGCATAAATACGGTTAACAAGGAACAAGTGATAACTATAAGATTACATTATATCAGTAAAAATATTAAGCATTTAATGAAAAGTAAAAGTCCATTTCAACGAAAAAACTAGAATAAATAATTTCTACATAAAATATTCAGAAGTCGGTGCTGAAAATTTGTAGCCACGAATTTGAAGCTTTTATATAGAAATCATTTTATTATTATTAGTACTGTGAAGTTGACTTTAAGTTTAGCTTTTTGGCCCCTATGTGTGGACTAAGAAATGCCTCTAGCTAATGGAAACAATTTGAATGTCTTTAAAAAAATTCATCGTCTTATTTTCCAAGCTAAGGGATGAAATATTTTCTCCAAATTTATATGAGGCCACCACGGATGTTTAATTTCTTTAGGAGAATCGTTTGAAATGGTTCACAATTGACGAAGATATCGTGTAGTACACATACATACATAAAAGTTTATTTGAGAACGTCCAAGTTGGCTGAAAAGAAGAAAATAGGGTCTACGTGCAATGAAGTAAAATTAATGTTGCATTAATATTTAATCGATTTTAAAATCGTCGGAGCAAATTATCCCTTCCAATATCGTGTAGTTCATAAATCTTTGATAAGTTTGAGCTACGTTAAGTAATTGTTTGTTCAGAACCAACAGAAGAACAATTTCAATTTTTTTATAAAGTTTTGCATTAACGAACATTGACACGTTTCGGACTTAAATCAAAAGTTTGTTCTATCGGGGCACCTCCAAATATAACCCTAGATAAAAAAATATTTTTCATTTGCTTATTGAGCCTATCACACAACTTTTTGTTAGTATGACATAGTGAAAAAAAAAAAATTTTTTTTTCAGTGGAGTGGGATTATTTCGGTTCTAATGTACAAGGTAAATTTGTTTTTAAGTACGTCCAGGAAAGAACACAATCCAACGTCACAGTGCGGAGTCATCAGTTACCGTTCCATTCGAGCGCACCTTCCACAGACAGAGTGACAGACCAGGCGAATCGGGTTCTATAGAAGCCGCCGAGTTTGACTTCTGCGGCTGCGGCTGGCCTCATCATTTATGCTTCTGCCCAAGGGCACGAAAAATGGATACCCGATGATTCTCTTTGTAATGGTGTGCAACTGGGCTGATGATGGTGTAAGTCTTTTAAATCCATTATTTAATGTAATAAATTTGAGTCACTGAGGTATGACTACATATTTGTGTCATTTGCTAGAAACAGAAACAGAAACTTTTTTATTCAATGTAGATTATAACAATACTTATTGAAAGTCACTTTTTTCATTTACCACTTCTTCTTTTTTCATCTTCAATCATGTTACACACCACTTGCTGGTGATCACCTTGTTATTACAAGCATGTTCCGCGACTGGTGTCACCTGTACTCCAACGGTTAAGTATAGCCGCCATTCAGCGAGGAAATGCAGGCAGCGTTTTTGGCACTATTTCGCGGGAAGTAGGACTACAATAAATAACATAACATTACATAGAATAAACATTCACGACTTTCACCCAAAGGGATGGGTAGACACTACGGACTTTTATTTAGCACGATCCTGACATACCTCTCAATAAAAATTGTATATTATAATATGACACCTTCACGACTTACGTCGGTTTTAATAAATACCCCGTCCTGCATCCCACAGAAAAAAAGGTATTTATATATCCCCATTAATGTGTTTTAAATTAATATAATGTTGTAGTTTTGTATAGTACTTTTTTCCAATATTGAGATGTAATTTAATGAAAATTATTACGCAAATTAAAAGAGTCATTGAAGATGTATTTTCTGTATTTGGTTCGACTTTTCTCATTCTTTTCCTCCCTCTCCTCGTTTTTGTCGAGAATTTAGTGACTGATGTACATTCGGATTATAATTTGTGTTAGATGAGTTCGGTGCATTTAATGATTGTTGTATGTCTGTTATGCCTAATGATTGTTGCATGGTTTGCATGTGTTGTTCTTGGATGTTTAGTGAACGTTGTATATTCGATGTGTTTGTGGTGTTTATTGTATTCGTTGTGCTTGGTGACTGCTGCGTGTTTGATGACTGTTGGGTGATCTGTATATGTAGATGGTCCGGTTGATTATGTACAAATACGGTATCCCCTAGCACTTTAGTGAGTATAGTTGATGTGTGAATAGCTGCTTGTTTTTGAAGTATACTAATATTAATATGGCTATCTAATTTATCTATGTGTTTTACTGCTACCACTCCCTTGCTCCTATTACTATGGGAATGACAGTTGCTTGTGTATTCCACAAACGACTGACTTCAGTTTTTAGCAGGTGGTATTTGCTTAATTTTTCAATTTCCTTAGGTCCTATATTGTAGTCTAGTGGTACAGTTATATCTATTAAGAATGTTTTATTACTTGTTTTATCAACATATATCAAATCAGGCCTATTATGTGTTACAGTAATATCAGTTTGGGCGGGCATTTCCCACATGATTTTAGCAAACTAATTTTCCTTAATTTGTGGTCGGATGAGGGTTTCTTGCCACCAGAGGTTAGAAACTTCTATTTTGTTCTTTTTAGCCAGACACCAATAGACGTACTGGACAAGATTACGAGTATCATGTCGCTTTACGTAATATGTCCCTACTAGTTTGTCACATCCGGATATTATGTGTTGTGTGGTTTCATCTTTACAGGAACACAGACGACATTTTGCATCTACTGGCTCATTTAATATGTCACGTTGATGTTGCCGCGTATTAATGGCCTGGTCTTGTATTGCAAATATGGATGACTCTGTACTTGGAGATACATGTTGCCTTTTAAGCCATTGATATGAAAGTTCTACGTCTATATTGGCCTGATCTAAAACTCTTTTAGGAAATTGTCCATGTAAGGGCTTTTTTCGCCACAGTTCATTTTGTCTTTTAACTGTTGCCATCTTAATCTCTTTATCTGTATATGTATTTTCTTGTGTTAAGTTTAATTCTCTTTCTATCTCTTGTGCTTCTTTTATTATTGAATATTTATCTCCATGTGTGTCGTGTCGCATTATTATTTTAATGAGATAATCGCTTTCCGTTTTCAGATATTGTTCATATTTTACTATCTGTGCTTTATACATGTACTCTATATTTATCAGACCTCTTCCTCCTTGTGTTACAGGTAAGTATAGCCTTTCTATTTCTGCTTTTTGCTGATGTACCTTTTTAATTGCTAGTAATTTCCTTGTTTTTATATCTATTTTCTTAAGATCGTTATTTTTATAATTTATTATGCCAAATGAGTAAAGTAAAAACCGGGACTGCGTATGTATTAATACCTTTTATCAAATATCGTGAGTTAAGGTGGGTGTTCAGTAGTTTCTTGATTCTTTTAAAATATTCTTTATTTATTTGATCTCTTATGATGCTGAGTTCTATCTTTCCTGATTCATGTATTCCTAAATATTTATATTTATCTCCTATTGCAAGTTGCTCAAAAGTTTCCCCCGCTTAAAAGAATATGACCTTCTCCTATTGCATTGCTTCTATACCCAGAACCCAGGTGTTATTGTTTTGCATTTGTCTTGTCCAAATCGCATTCCTATATCGCTTGTAAACACTTCCACACTATCCAACAGTACTTTCAAATTACTCTTATTGTTTGCATAAACTTTAAGGTCATCCATGTATAGTAGGTGATTGACCCAGAAACTGTTTTTGAGTTTATATCCTTTCAGTTTGTATTTATTAAGTATACAGGAAAATGGGTTAATTGATAAGGAGAATAACAATGGTGAGAGGGAGTCACCCTGGAAAATTCGGTTCCGTGGTAACCGAATAATGTGATCCACGGGCTGTCATGATCACCCTCCATAGTGGCATAGCCAACTGAAGGAATCTTTTAATCATTAGTGGACATTTATAGACATCAAGCACTTTAAGAAGCCATTCGTGAGATACACTGTCGAAGGCTTTTTGGTAGTCAATCCATGCCATACTCAGGTTTTTTTGAGCTTGATGTGCATCCTCCAATATGACCTTATTAACCATTAGATGGTCTTTACATCCCCTAGCACCACGGCGCATCCCCTTTGCTCTACGGTCATTATGTTACGAGTATTCTTATCGCAATGGCTATACAATACGTTGGCCAATATGGAAGTATGTAATTCGTACATACTAGGTAAACATGCATATTATAATGTCATGTAAATGAATGTATTATAACATGAAATGCTATATTGATATTTCGTAAATGTGTTTATTGCCGTGTAGTCGCGGCCTAAGACAATAATCTCACCTCTTTATGTGGATGCTGTTTGAGGCAATTAAGGACACTTCCAGAACACCGTCCAAATGAACCGTCACCGTCAAAATGACTGTACAACCATATATTGAGGATTTTTATTATCAACGTAGAGGCAAATGTGGCAAATATACCTCTATGAGGCAATATATAGATGAGACCTATATTCAGCAGTAGACTTTAGTAGGCTGTAACGGTAGCGGTAATCTTTGTAAACATTATACGTGGTAGAGCCACGCTGTAGATACATTATGTAGCATGAATGGGTCGGCTCGACCGGGGAAGGACCACGCTCTCACAGAATACTAGCGTAAAATAACAGCTTAGTACTGCTGTGTTTCGTATGGTGAGAGTAGAGATCCGGAGTCAATAAATCTGTCCATTTGTGTCTATCCGGGTTCATCTTCAGATAGACTGGATATTTTTTTGTAAAAAAATGCCTTTCATTACCTTAAACCTAATCAGCACTTAAAATTGCTATTAACAATTTCATTGGTGCCGGCGGGGATTGAAATTTACAGCGAATGCTAACCATCTGAGCTACCACGGCTTTTAAGTGCCGATTTACCACGTGCTCGGTGGTGAAGGAAAACATCGTGAGGATACCTGCATGTCTGAACAACAAGAAAATAAATATATTTTTGAAATATTTTTAATTTTTCAGACAAGCCTCAGGATATTTTACTTCTGGTATCTTCTACCGCACGTAGTCAATCAGAGCTATCACGGCTAATACATTGTGTTATATTTGTGTAAATATAACAAATACACTGTCACATTTTTTTATATAGGATGAACGTGATAAAGTGACGAACGAGTACACAGTCCAACTGATGGTAGGTGGATGCTGTGGCCCATAGGCACCTACATCCATCCTCGATTAACAATCAAAATGCATAGGCGTTGTAATCCTTAAATACTAAGATCAAATGCCTCGTATCCAGTAAACGAGCCATGATAGCACAGATGGTTAACGCTCGCTGTAAATATAACAGAACGCGAGTAACCTGGGTTCGATCCCCGCCGGCAACAATGAAATTGTTAATTACAATTTTAAGTGCTGATTTACCACGTGCTCAGCGGTGCAGGAAAACATCGTGAGGAAACCGGCATGTCTGAGGAATAAGGAAAAAAATATTTCGAAGACATGTGAAGTTCGCCAACACGCATTGGGGCAGCGCAGCGGACAATTCCTTGCCCTAAAACCCTCATCGAAATGAGCCGAGGCCTGCGCCTAGCATTGGGACGTATATAGGCTGTAACTTTATTTTACTTTTTACCTTAAACCTAAAAAACGCCACATTAATGGATTACTAGAAGACTCAGATTAAGTCAGGGTGCATTGGTAGTTAAATATATAATATATTTGTAATTTTATTAGGTGGAACAAGACCTTGTTGGGTCTTGCAACGACGCAGCATCGTATTGTAGACTCCGTGACCGCCCGTATCCTGACCGACGAGCCATGGGATTCCCCTTCGATAGTCGTGTTCCAGCAGCGGTGAAGAGAATCACTGATTTATTGATACTCAATATGGCCATCGCTGAATGCAAGATACGATTTACTGATGCCACTAGGCTGAGGAGCCAATAATCTTTTTGGGGTTCCTTTTTAAATAAACATGATTCGCTTTCTTGATATTGTAATAAATACCACTGTTTAGGTTTGTATTTTTGTTGTTAACGAAAACTGGCTATGGAAATGGGCACTAAGTATATTTAGTTTTAAAGGGTCAAATTATTTTAAGCATATTTCTGTTAATATTTGTTCATATTATTTTCAATAATAAGACAGAATAATTCAGATCTTTCACAAACGTTTCTTTTTTTCTTATTATTATTTTAATCATTTCTTCTTTATTTTCACCAGAAAGAAAGTAAATTTCCTAGACATGTTTACCGACAAAGTTGGTGATATATTGAAGATAGGCCAAATTTCGGCTACCCTTAACCAACGAGAATGTATGCGTAGGTATAAAAATGCGAAAAAAGCGAGAGAGATGTCAAGATCGTGCCAAATGGAAGTCCGTAGCCTCTTTCTATCTACGGTGAGATTATTATAGAATTGAGGGAGACTAACTAGCATACAGTTCACCTGATGGTAAGTGGTTGGTCTATAGGCACCTACATCTATATTCGAATAAATTCATAATGTGGATGCGTCACATCTAAAAACTAAGATGGAAAGCCTTGTTACCATTTAAAAAGGTGTCGGGTTCTCGTTACGAGACGAAAAGCAGTTGCCTTTTATTGAGGGTTGCAATTTTATATTGGTATTCTGTGCCAAATTTGTCCTTTCCTGGTCGAGCCGACCCATTTGTGTTGCAGCTTTAATACATTGCAGTGTGGCTGTATTATGTCAAATAGGTATTTTATCTTAATCTTCATGTTCAGTTTGAGATAATTTTGGTTGCAGTAGACACATACAAACAACCGCATCATTGGCACGTTTGTCACTCTAATGTTATAGAGATATAAATAACCAAATGATTTCAACATTTATTTTCCTATTAATCAAAAATTTTCTTATATCAATTGGGAAAATATGTTTAGATATGAGCTGCTATTAACGAAGTTATAAAATATAAATTAATTTAATTTACACTTCATCATAAATTCTGTATCATTTATGTCAATGACATTTTCGATAATGATAACTATAAAAATCGTTTTTTCTTAATTAGTTATATTCTGATCTCATCATGGAGCACAAGAGACGGGTATGTTTAAAGAATTTAATTCGAAATTATTTATAAGTTATTATGTTACTTTTTATTAAGCAACTTACGGATTAAAGAACTGAAGTGGCAATGAGCTGGTCATATAAGCCATATAGCTCGAGAACCGAAAACCTATGAGAAAGAAAGGTTTTCGAGTTACAGACTCGTACTGGTAGGCGAAGTGTAGGGTTGCCTTCCACTAGTTGTAGTGCTTTGTGGTGGCTGGGACCGTGCTTTGTGGCATTCCTTAGAGGAGACCTATATTCAGCAGTGGAATATAAAGTGCTGTAATAACGATGAAGTTAGTGAACCGTTATATGAAGTTATTTGATTAACGAGCACAGAGCCTTACTGCTCACTGTTTTTTTCACATTAAGCAAGCTATCCAGGTTCGGTTTCTGATGGCACTTTTAAAATTGTTAATTGTAATTTTAAGAATAGCGATGATGTAGCAAGGCAATTATACATATCTGATGAATAAATTGTTTCGAAGACATGTAAAGTCCGTCAACATCACAGAGTAGATATTTTATAAACATATAGTATAGTACAAGTTTAACCTAGTTATATATATATATATATATATATATATATATATATATATATATATATATATACTATATATATATATATATTTCAATTTTTTATATTATGTCAGTTACTGAGATATTTCCGTTCTAGTAACTTATTTTCCTATAATTAAGTACATAATAATTATTCTTTAGATTGTCAAAAGATTGTAGATTTGTAAAAAAAAACTCTAAAAGGTTTTATTTGCTAATACTATAAACATTTAAAAAATATTTTCAGGATATCATAGCGGTCGTCTATTTGATGTGGATAGGAATAGCTTTGGTAAGTTCGCAAAATACAGATAATAATCAGAATATTTCAGCGACAGAATCGATAAATAGCGAGTCTGATGCAACGAGTGTTGCTCTTCCCAATCTAAATTCAAGTCCTGATATGGCAAGTCCTGCTATGGCAAGTCCTGATACGGCAAATCCTGATACGACAAGTTCTAATACGGCAAGTCCTGGTACTGACAGTTCTAAGGCAAGTCCTGATGCAGCAAGTCCTGATGCGGCAGGCGCCGATAGCGCAAGTAATAATGCGGCAAGTCCTGGCACTGACAGTTCTAAGGCAATTCCTAATGCAGCAAGTCCTGATGTGGCAGGTGCTGATGGTACAAGTCCTGATGCACCAAGTCCTGATGTGGCAAGTCCTGATACAGGAAGTTCTGATACAGCAGGTCCTAATACGGCAAGTCCGGACAGTTATAAGGCAAGTCCTGATGTGGCAAGTCCTGGTACGGGAAGTCCTACAGCAGGTCCTGATACAGCAAATGCCAAAACAGGAAATGTAGAAACACCTTTTACTTCGAATGCAATAACTTCAAGCAATGCAGTGCTTGATCGTCCTACCGGAGATGTACAAATACCTGCTGATCCATCTCCAGCAGCTGCTCCCGGCGGTGATAGTCAAAGTGCACCAAAACCACCTACAAATGCTGCTACCGTAATTGATACATCAAATACTCAAGCTGCACCATCTGCTACTGATGCACCGAATATAATAGCCCCAGTTACTAGCGCTTCCATTGACGAAAAACAAAACGAGGAGAATTTTTTTATTCCACCTTCGTCGGTTGCTCCTGTTGTAGATGCTCAGAATGCGTCAATATCACATATAACGACTGTTCCTGTAAACGATGAACAAAATACACCTGCTCCGCCAATAATAGCTAGTCCTGTTATAGATCCACATAATACACCGGCCCCAAACACAATAGATACTCCTATTATAGATGCACAAAATACGCCAGTCCCCCCTACAACATTTGGTCCAGTTATTGATACGTTGAATAGGCCAGCTACACCTACAACTATCGCTACTGCTCCAGATGTGCAAGTTGCCGCTGTTTCTCCGACAGGAAATCCTTCAAATGGGGGTAATGTTATACTTATACCGAGTTACCCAATCCCATCCAGCCAAGGCTATTATCTAGTGCAGAATCCTGTTCCACAAGGGAATGGATATTCCCAGGTAATGAACATTTATTCTCAAAACGGATATTCAGGTAGGGGTGGTTACTACGTTATACCGCTTGTTCACTGAACTTTTTAAAAAACTTGTTACTTTTAACAAATAAAAAAGAAAATTATTAAAATCCTTATAACAGGGATAGATGTATGTGATTTTGGTTATAAATTTATATTGGTTAATGAAAATTAATGATTTATTGTCGAATTCGGTATAACTTAATGTAATGTTAGTACATTTTATTAGAAATGTGAGTGTTAATCTATACATACATAATAAAGTTGAAGTGTCCGTCTATAATTTCGAAATTAAATGCTACTATTAAGTTGAGGCGTAATTTGTTATTTTACTTAATAAACATTGTAAAAATGTTGGCCTGTCGAAATAGTTTGATAAAATTTTACGAACACACAGCAATGTTAGTATTGTTCTAGGCTACATTTTATCTGAACATCGTGTAGCTAAGATTTTTTGTGATATCAAAAAACTTATAAAATAAATGGTTGTTTAATTTCCTCATTAATTGTATAGATATAAAAATATACTTTCAAATAAAAGATTTTATGGTTTGTAATTTTACACAAAAAGATCCTTACATTACCTTCTGTCTCTGAAAGTATTGATGTAGTAGTGATATTTAACATATTTTATTTTATCGCTATTTTACAACTAAACTATACATGTTACATGTGATAGGCCATTGAAATTAACAAATCTTCAATTTCTACTTTAACAATTTGACAGAGCCCCTTCTCATTTCCGGGAATGTTAAAAGCAGAGAAGAATCTTTCATACAAAATGTTTAATAGTTTTAAACTTATTATAACTTTCTTAAAAAAGCGTACTGATATTTTATGGTTAATCTGCAATTCGAACTGGTTTTCAATTTTTTTTGTGACAAAATATTATTGCGATTAAATTATAGTACTCTACATTTCAACTTAAACTTGTAATTTTTTTAGAAAGACAATTAATATATTATTATTATTATAGCTTACACTTTTCGACTAAATTTGCGATATATTGAAAATGGAACGAATTAAAAATAACACTGTTACGTAGATTTACAGATGTGAATTAAGCGAGAAAGTTGTGTCATAACATAACCGTGTCGAGAAGATTATTTAGATGGAGATTCTATTTATTCATGATCTGTACGGGTAATGCAAGAATGTAATTGCCCGCGGCTTCTGTGCACTCCTGTGCCACACTTTAACTTACTGTCGCTAATGAGTTTTTGATATGTACTTTCATTAGATTTAGGCATTAATAAATCGGATAGTTCTAAGTTTAACCAATCCCAATAGACTGCACCTAGTTGTAACCGTTCAAATCAACTTTAATATATATATGTGAACGCATTTTATTGGCATATAAGTTCTTATATAGTGTTCTTGATTGGAAATTAAGCTGTAAGCTACCCGAATAAAATAAATTAAAATAAATTTATATTATATTAAAGTAAGGGGAGCTAAGTGATAAGGAGTAAAAGAAACAAATATTACAAAATGTTCGTTAATATAAGATTGGGACAAGATTATTTATTTGTTTAATTAGAAGCCCTTTATTGACCTCAATTTAAACTTTGCTTTGTTTTAGATTAATGGGTTCATGAATTATGTGTCCCTAGTGGAATTAATTTAAGTCGAGGAAACTTCCCAACTCAACAGTGGCTTTGAAATTATCCCTATTACAAATGCTTGTTATTAATCTGGCCCATATTGTTTGTGCATTATAAAGTTGGAAAGATTTATGTTTTGAGACATCGTCATCTTTAAAAACTATTTAAGTTCACTACAGAACATAGGCTTTCCCAACTGATTGCTTCTTATGCGGAATATATATAGTTAACATGAATTGTAATGTATATCTATTTCTACCACGAAAGAAAATAAAATTTAATTTGTTAAATGTATATTTTTTATTTCTAGTGGCATTTTTAAATATGCTTCCCCTGACCTAAAACGAGGCGAAAAAATTTACTCAAATAATACTTTTTTTTTAGTTAAACATATTAATATTATACATAAGAGTATATAATATACAGGAGGGAAATCGATAACAGACCCTATGTGCATAGAAGCATATTTTATAATATTTATTTAAACAAAAGATGATTAAAATTTAGAGCTTATTTATACATAGAGAACTCAAGTAGACTTCACCTCTTCAAGCAGCAAATGTTCCAAACATACGAGTAACGCAGTGGCAGCCATACATGTTAAGAGGAAGTGGACGGTCCGTCACACTATGCCGACGACGCCACACATCGAGATGTATCTCTCCACATATACATATTATAAGACGGTTTACTGAATATACTTGTAGTTTTCCATAGACACATTTACAATTCCCTCTTGTAGAACTTTCAAAGCTCCATATCGTATGTTTGAAAATATTATTTTTATTATCTATAACATGATATAATAATACTATTATATAAAAACAACGTAATAGAAAACTGATAAAATTGCTTAACATAAATACATTTATTTTGCCTAATTATAATAACTGTAAACCATCTTATTGATGAAATGCAATTTTCACTATAAAAATATTAAATAGCCTCAGTGAAGACATACAGAATAAATAACACTCAGAACTCGCGTCTCTTTGATTCAATGTAAAAATGTAAATTATGGTATATTAAACCGTAAGCCGATGTTTGACGATGATTCCTGTAAATTACACACACGAATAGAGTAATCGGTTGCTGGTGTTAAACTCGTATTACACAACAAGGTCTTTTACAATTTAATTGCCATAAGCTAACATTTTAGGATTACGTTTACATTAAATGAAATCGGCATGTGTGTGAGCTATAATACAATTTTATATTTTTTGGTTATCAATTAAATAATAGTAAGTAACGTTTTTCTAAAAAAGAGAAAAGAAGAAGAGGAAGAATATCATTATTCATTCAGTTGTTAAGCCGATCAAAGACTAGCGGTGAACCTATTCCATAAATTGCCTCATAAGGGTTTTCCATAGTTGCCACGTTTGGCAGGCGGGTTGGCAAACATAGTTTTTCAGGATGTTGTTATCAGGAAGATGTTGTTGCCCTACAAAACTCACGAGATGATGAGGACAGTAGATTCTCTTACATCGCCACTACATAATATTTGTAAAATCAACTATATTTTTAAAGAATAAACGTGACAAGCAGGAACATTATTTACCGGGTGGTAAATGGATGCTGTATCTCATAGACACCTATAGTTCGGCCAACTAGCAGCGATACGAAAGGTCCTTCACCTCAAAAATGACTGTGGAGTTGACTATCTTGTGTAATTGTCGTAATGTCTCGTTTTCCCGGCAAGAACGGGTGTCAGGGTAAGGCGGGTTCGCCAACATTCGGGAGGCAATTTTAGTAATTGTTGTTTATTTAATTATTGTTATTTTGTTTGGACGATAGTAAAGTTACAGCCTATATACATCCCACGGCTGGGCACAGGCCTCCCCCTCATTTCTGAGAGGGTTTAGGGCAAGGAAGTGTCCGCCGCGCTGCCCAAATGCGTGTTGACGAACTTCACATGTCTTCGAAATATTTTTTTTTCTTATTCCTCAGACATGCAGGTTTCCTCACGATGTTTTCCTTCACCGCCGAGCACGTGGTAAATCAGCACTTAAAATTGCAATTAACAATTTCCTTGGTGCCGGCGGGGATCGAACCCGGGTTAATCGCGTTCTGTTATATTTACAGCGAGCGTTAACCACTGAGCTACCACGGCTCTTTTTATTAAGAGTGGTTAATGATGGAGCGACAACCAAGTACGTCGAGAGATAAATCAACAGATTTTACTTCTCCGGAAAAGAAACGTCCAAAGGTATGTATAAGAATACTATATATATATATATATATGAATATTTTTTAGTAGTTTTAATTAAAGTTTCTTGGTTCGGAGTGTACTTTAAGTTATCTTAAAGTTATTTAAAAATAGAAACTTAATAATAAAATTTTTCTTAATTTATTAAAGATGCATATAAGTAATATATATATATATATATATATATATATATATATATATATATATATATATATATATCATTTTAATTTAATTTTTAATTTTAGGTGACTAGTTTTACGTTGAATGAAAAAAATACGGTTAGTAATACCTATACATATGTTAAAGAAACTTGGCCTAATGATTAATACCCATACAGAAACGAGATGGCGCACAAAGTATTTAATTAATTTAAATCTACATTATACCTACAACAATTCAAATTATAACAAAATTTATAACAAGTCAATTTTTTTGGTTTGCTAGACATTTTTTTATAGGATAGGGTTACAAACGAGCACAAATTCCACCTGATGGTAAGTAGTTGCTGTGGCCCATAGACATCTACATCTATCCTCGATTACGAATCAAAATGCAAATGCGTTGTCACGCGTGAGGACTAAGATGGAATGCCTCGTTTCTAGTAAAAGGGGTCTCCGGCTCTCTACACTCACCATACGAAACACAGCAGCATTAAGCTACTATTTGACGCTGGTATTCTGTGAGGGCGTGGTCCTTCCCCGGTTGAACCGACCCATTCGTGCTACAACTATACTATTCTAATAAATGTTTTAACTATATTGTCTACTTTTTATATATATATATATATATATATATATATATATATATATATATATATATATATATATATAATCTACCTAGCAAAAAGTTACACAGCCGGACAGATCGGAAAGGGCTGTGTAACTTTGTGTGTAACTGGTGTGATGGAAAGGGGATTTGTATTCCCAATAACCTTGCATTGGTTTTGTTTACATTTGGTATTGCTTCTCGTTGGCCGTAGTTTACACCTATCCTCGAATATGAATCTTAATCTTAGGACTAAGGTATATTGCCTCAGTACCAATTAAAAGGGTCTCCGGTTCTCTAAACTGACACCGTACTTACTACTATACTACTTACGCTGATATTCTGTGAGATCGTGAACCTATTTTGGTTGAGCCAACTGATTGGTGCCTTAGTCATAATATAACTGAAGCG